TTGAGCAAGAAACTCGTTTCTTGAACAAAAAACAAGTTTCTAGTTATCGTTTCTTGAACAAGAAACTAGTTTCTTGAACAAGAAATTGTTCTCGGGTTTCTTGAACAAGAAACTGGTTTCTTGACCAAAAAACGAGTTTCTAGTTCTCGGGTTTCTTGAACAAGAGACTCATTTCGGTTTTATCCGAATAATGCTCACCCCTACATATAGATAATAATGTTCGCATATGCAAATGCAAGTGAGTTGTAGAAAGATGGAAAATAATTTCCTATTTTAAAATTATGTTCAAATTCTTGTTACATTTCCCAAACAAAGGTTTGCCACCTGTTATATGAATAAATACAAGTTTATTCTTAAATATTAATTTAATATTTTTTTATACTTGTGTATATATTATTTTCCATAAAAAAAAACTAATATATATATATATATATATATTTTCAAAATTTTAATCTTAGTAAACTTATTTTTCACATATGATTTTGAACATATCAGAATTAATTAAATAATTTAGTAAACTTGTTTGTTAAATTATTTCTAAATTAACATTTAAGTTAAATATTATAGCTTAAATAAACAAGAGTACAACAAAAATGATCAACTAGCCAAACAACCTTTTACAAAGAAAGACTAAGAGAAACATAAGTTACGACTACACGAAGCAAGGATGTTGGATTGTTCTCGGCAAGGACTAAGGTTATCGAACAATCAGAAGAAATAATTTGGATATATGATGTAAAATCTTTGTACATTCCCTATTTTACATGAAAAATGAGTAAAATGCATATATGGTGTAAAATCTTTGTACATTCCGTATTTTTTATTTAATTTTTTTGTATAAAAAATTATTTTTTAATAGAAAAAATTATTTTTTTATTTAATTTTTTTTGTACAAATATTTATTTTTTAATAAAAAATAAATTTTTGTTTCAATATTTATGTATAAAAATTTATTTTACAATTAAAAAAAATTATTTATTTTTTTTATATATTTTTAAATTTTTGTTGTATAAAAATTTAGTTTTAATAAAAATATTTTGTATCTAATATTTTTTTATATTTTAAATTTTTTTTGGTATAAATATTTACTTTTTAATAAAAAAAATCCATTTTCAAAATCTGTTTCAAAATCCGTTTATTTTGTATTTTATTTTTTATTTATTTTTTTTTTCAAATAAAAAAATTGAATTCAAAAATAAAAATAGCTCGAATTAGGCCAATTGAAGTTAAATTAGTACAATCTAGGTCAATTATATTGTAATCGAACTCGAATTAGTCCAATTGAGGTCAAATTAGTCCAATTTAAGTCAAATTAGTCCAATTGAAGTCAAATTAGTCCAATTAAAGTCAAATTAGTACAATTTAAGTCAAATTAGTACAATTGAAATGAAATTGGTACATTCTCGGTCAATTATAGTGTAATCGAACTCGAATTAACACAATTGAAGTCAAAATTAATACAATTGAAGTCAATTATAGTGTAATCGAACTCGAATTAGTCCAATTGAAGTCTAATTAGTATAATCCACGATAATTCTATTGTAATCGAACTCGAATTAATTATTTATTAATTATGAGTTTTGTTATATATGATAAAAATGAGTTTCGTAATATATATATATATATATATA